TTGCAGGCACCAAGTCACCGCTGCAGATCCAGACCGTCAGGATAGGTCGCCACTAGTTCCGGCGTCGAAACCAATAGTTGCGGTGCAGCAAATCATGGCCGCGGTTGATCGCCCATGGATGATGGATTCATCATGTCGACGGGGCGGTGTGCTCGGCTGGCGCTGAATGATCGGCGGTGTCGAGTCTAGACGCGATAGTCTGCCCAACGATCGGGCTGTCCAGTCTCAGGAAAGTGGGCCGCCGGGCAAGCACGCGAAATTTCCAGGGTCCGCCAGAAGGCCATGGAAGATTGGGTGAAGATTTCCCGAGTCCTGAGGATCCGGAGATAGGAATCGAGACTAGATAGATAAAAGATTATCAGAAGATTATCAGGAAGACAGATTGATATGATCAAAATTGTTGTTTGTGAAATTTCTGTCCTATGTATAAAGAATATTCTAGCTATGTATAATCATCATCGATCTTCATGCCATAGGTACTTGTTCCCGGGGCCAATGTACAACAAGGCCCAACAGTGGGGAATCCAATGCAATCCCAAATCCGTCAAGAGGAGAGTATTATCAAATCAAAAATATGCCCAAGTGCACTTAGGCACGCAATGGTGTGAACACCAGTAAATGCAGTTTCGCACCATGTAGAGTGCTAAATCCCCAGTAGCCAACCAAAATGCCCAAAAGATTTTTTGTATCCAAAAATGTTAAACGCCGGACCCGCTGGAAAATGCCAAAACACACGAGAAAATTCCCATGGAGGGAAACAAGATTAAGGGGTATTACATCGCAGTATGATACAACAACCAGGTCGTCGAAAGGAGTTGAGGCCCAATCAATAGGCCTCAATCAGTGGGTTCTGCGGTTGATTGGAGATGTAATACCCCCGGTCCAATTCGGCATCGGACAGCGGGATCTCGGTGCTTTGGGCCTCCTTCTCGTTGAAGGAGTCCAGGGTGGGTTGAGGCGGAGACGGCGGCATGGAGTCATCTTCCGACTCCTCGTCGGAGTCCAGGGCCAATTCAGGCGGCGACTGTCGGGAGGGCGAGCGAGTGAGAGTCAATTCCTCCAGATCCTCGGCGTCGTCATATTCAAATTCCGAGTCCGAGTCGGTCTCGTAGTCTTCCTCCACTTCTTTCTCGCGGATGACCGCGACAGGCGAGGGTGCTCGCCGGCGGACGACGGGAGCGTAGAGGGTGGGTTCGTATTCATCTTCGCTCAGGTCGGAGTCGTCGTCGCTGACGTCCGAGTCGACGTCCGAGAGGTCATCGCCGTCCCAGTCCTCTTCGGGCTCCTCGACGACGGTCTCGGCCCATTGAATGCGGCGAGGCTCGGCGTCGGGAGTGGTCTTGGTGGCACCGCTGACGGTCTGGTTGAACCAGCGTTCTTGTTCTTGTTCGGCGGCGGCGAGGTCGAGCATGAGAGAGTCCAGGAGGTTGGCGTGTCCGACGAGGAGACGCAGATCGTGGTCCGCCCGCGAAGCTTCCCGAGTGAGCTTCTTGCGGGCGGTGTGGGCGAGGTAGTATGTCTGAGTGATGCTCATTTTCTTTTGTTCACGGCGTCGAATGATAGAATTAAAGTAGGAGCTGGGAGAGGAGAAGGGTTGAGGGCGGGAGGAGGAGGTAGAAGTAGGGGAGGAAGAGGAAGGCGAAGAAGGTGTAGGGGAGGCAGAGACGGCCATGGCGCAAAGTCCGGCGTTGATGTGCTTATGAGCTCAACCCCAGAAATCGTGACTCAGGCAGAAGTCAGGCGTGGCTGTTTCCGGCGGTCGGGCGATCTTCCAATGAGAGCGGGGCGGTGAGTCAACGCTTATCGCCCGTACTTTTGTTTCTGTTGCAGCCTGAAGAATGCGGTCGCACTACTTCAATATTGCAATAATAATAATATTATAATAATAATATTGGACGCGTTGTCGTCGACTTGCAGGAATCCACCGGTTGTCCGTTCGACGAGGCTAGCTGGCAGATGGATGATTGTTGGCTGGGCAGACTGAAGGAGTCTGTAGTATCATGTATCCTGTACGGTGTAGGATTATGTGGATGGATGTATGTCGGTGGAATTATCGGTCTGGGTGTGGACGAGATTCGTAGAGAGTAAATATTGAAAAAAAAGTGACTGTATCGAGTGACGGGGCAAGCAAGAGTTGATATATCCACTTGGTGAGAAAAACCAGTAGGCTGAATCATTTCTTTTTTTTCCATATTCTTGATTTTTCATTTAACATTTATAATTTATTTCTTTTCTTTTCCATGTGCTAAGCAAATAGTAAGGAAAAAAAAATTAAATCCATGCCGCGAACCGTCTAAGTCCGACGCGCCGATCGGATCCCGGAGGCAGACCAGAAGAAAAAAACCCCAAGAGCGCCGCAACCACGGAAAGAAGAGTGGAGATGGGCAAAAGAAGATTGACCGCCTTCCCTCCGTGAGTCACGGATGACCAATCTTTCCGCGCCGTTACCTCCGGTTGGTTTCTTTCCGTGCATTATTCATCTCTGGATAAGATCCTCCCGTACGAGCGAGCTCGCATTTACGAGCATTTCCAATTTCCGATTAGTGAGCATGTCCTTTCAAAGTCCAGAGCGGTGCTTGGAAATCATCTACCATCTGTCATTCTGCCCATGAGCAATCATAACAGTAACCATAACCATAATCATAACCATCTGTATAGAAGAGGGAAGAGATAAATACGGAAGTACGAGCGCCAAGCCGTGCCGTGTGTCCCCCCAAAAACAAGGCGCGGCTCAGTCTGGCAAGTCATGATGATGACTCTTTCGCCCTTCGCCTGCTCATCTCCGAGGACCGTCCTCAGCACCTACCTTACCCAGCCAAACTATGCCCATAACCGTAATTTCGTATTACACATCTCTCTCGGTCCGGCCTCGTTTATCTCCATTCTTTCCCTACCTTATTCCCAGTCCGTGGTCCCCTGCACCCACGGTTGGTCGGTATTCGGTGCTCCACTCCTTCCCCCCGGAGTAGGTGGCAGTCATCGCTCATCATCCATCACTCATAAGGCTCGGTCTCGTAATCGCTTCTCGGATGACGGGCACCTGTCGCTCCGCATTGGTGCACGGAATTCCGACCATGTACATTATCGTCACCCATCACAACCTTTGATGCCTGCACAGATCACCACGTAATCCCACACGCAGGCACGGAGGCGTGACACAGGCGGCCACATTCCCCCTCCTTGAATGTGGCGTGCCAGAGGGGGACCCTGCGAGTTGTGCACGTATAGCTTTGCACCTTGCGGCTCTCCTGGTAGGTCGAGAGGTTGGGCTTATCCCCAGATAACCCCTTCCACGAATCCTTCTTGGCAGGAAGGCGGCCAAGGAGTCGATCCGCTGGGGCTGTGCCAGGCAGCAAGGTGCTGTAGACAGGCAGAGAGATACGGAGTACGGAGTACTTACGCAGCGCTGGAACTATAACAATCCATATACCCACACGGTACGAGGTCAGATCGTTCGAGATCAAATCAAATCTCCGACTGTTAGGCAGTTATCCCCAGACCCGACTTATCTCAGATGTTATCTACCCAGCTCGACTCAGATGAGACAGCCCCTGTGGATCTGAGCCACGACCCCGGAGGCTGTATCACTCTCAGTGTCTACTATCTCCGTATCTGGCAGCTACATTGCACAAGGGCTGGATAGTGGATGGTGGGTAACAGAGAACTAGTGGATACATACAATTTCCATGCATACGGGGGCGATTTACCAAGTATATCTGATTACGGTGTTCTCCTGTCCATCGTCACACCTTGCTCTGCATACCCAATGACCCCCAATCCCAATCCCCAATACTTGATAGCCACGTCTGCCACGAACCATCGCAGCATGTGCCTGCTGGCGAACCCAAACAATGGCATTCTTGATCATAGGCTGTCGCTGTCCCTGTCTGGTGAGGTCATGACGTCACGACACCGACAGATCCTTGAGACCGGCGCAAATGATCGTCCAGATCAAACGCCCATGATTTCATTCGGTCTGGGCGAATCTGGAGAATGACATGGACGTGATAAAAAACCTGTCAGGGGTAAAACTGGCAGCTGCACAACGGCAAAAGGAAGGATGTTGCTGGAGTTGGCATGAGGTCAGTCGATAGGGCTGGCAGTTCTTGAAAACAACCAGAGGCGTTCGTACGGATCAAGTTGTATGGTCTTGCATAATGTTGTCATCCGTGCATAACTCTCTCTCTCTCTTTTGCGCTGCGACAAACATCCGCTGACTCATCAGACCGGTCGGAGTCGGCGTTAATCTGGCCGGTGCTCCGACTGCCAAATCTGCCTTCATCCGTGGATCGGACTTCATCGAATTTTTTTTTTTTTTTTTTTCCCTCGGACCCTTGAGCGGATCCAGTTTAGGGCTGATGATTTTTTCTTCCTGCTCTGCCAGTGCCCGCGCCGAGTTCCGAATGCTCTTGAAATTGACTCACATGGAAGAATTCGATGGTTCTTACCGGCGGCTCCACTTTCTTTCCTTCTAGCCGTACGGGTCGTGCAGATTTACTCATTCGAGAATGGATTTGGGCCCAATTGTCCAATGCGTTGCCCGTTTAGTTTTCTCGGACTTATCTCGCTCTCTCCAGAGTGACTCGTGAAGGCTCAATGTGATGACGATGAGATCTGACCGCGTCGGACTCGGCTGGGGATGAGATATTATTTCCTTCCCGTCAGCCTCCCCCTGGTCCAATGGAGTCTGGATCGACGGTGCGCGGCCGTCAGATAATTATCTGATGCTAGCACTACTGATCAGTATGCGCCTGGGTTGAATATCGGCTTCGGTCTGTCCGAAAAGCGGAGTGCTGATGTGCGACAATGCTGAGTTCCGGCGTTCCGGACCGACAGCCAATGTCCTGCAGACTTTACTCGCGTCATGACCATGGCTGGCCTGCGCCGTCCTAACCGATCAATCAAAGATATGACTGTTTTCTGCTGTCCTACAGGTCCATTTGGTGATACCCAGTGCAAAATATCCGAGCAATTACTACATTGAGTAATGAGCCTATTCACTACACTATTCTCTCCGCTTCCTCCCCGTGAGTATCACCATGCAGGAAAAAGCTACTCAGGTTCGACCCCCGTCTCTTCAGCCACCGCTTCCACGGCCATTCGCCCTGTTCTCCCTGAGGCACCTCGCACGGCAACAGGATCGCATGGTCCAGTGAATGTGGCAGACCGCGATGCCGACCACGCACCTGCATCGCGATGACGATCAATTTCGACACCGTGTTGAACTCCGCGCAGAGACTCGTCTGAGTCCCGGGATACCCCAGCGATAACCCCACCGTACCGTAAGCGGAGACAATCTCGAAGAGGATCGGAAAGAGCGAAAACGCAATGTCTTTGCCGTGTGGCTGCAGCCGCGGTCCCTCTGCCACTGCGACGAAGAAAAAACCCAACATCACATACCAGAGATCGAACCCGAGCTGGCGCTGGATGTGTGCGGCGAGCCCGCGGTTCGCATTGGGTTTCGCTGCTTCGTCTTCGTCGCCCTCGTCTTCGTCGTAGATGCCGAGACTCTTTTCTTCGTATACGTTGGTCTTCCGGATGGCGATGGCGATGGGGAATGCGGAAATATACATCATCACCACGAAGGAGACTTGCACGGCGGGATGTAGGTGGCCTAGTGAGATGATGCTGAACCCGGCCGTGCGGGTGGACGCGATTTGAAAAAGTCCGTTCACGAAGCGGATGCCCGGCGAAGTGAGCTCGTCATTGGGGATCTGAATTTCATCAGCGCCTTGATACTATGATTGAGGGTTCGATCCGGGGCCTAAGGTGATCTACCTCTTGCATCGTGTAAAAAATCACCAGGTCAATTGCGTTGAGGATCAACAGCACGGCGGCAAGTCGCCAGGTTTCGGCACTAGGGAAGAGCAGCGTGAAGCACCGTCGTGGGTGGTTCAGCAGGTATAGCAGCTCCTCGTCCAACGCGGTGCCATAGGAGGTGGCCTTGGATAGAATCCAAATGATTAACCGCAGCATACACGGAAACCCCGTGTTTCCGATCACGATGAGAAACGTCATGACCAGCAAGGGGAAGGCATCGGTGCGGAAAGAGGCCATGGAGTTCCTCGTCAGGGTATACCCCAAATCGTTGAACGCGGAGCCCGCAGTGAACGCAGCCCACCAGGAAGGGGCGACCTGGATGTCCGAGAAGATCGGGTCATGTCGTCGACTGATCATCACCCATGCCACGAACAGCACCGTGCCCAGCACATGAAACGCGAAAAAGTAGCAGACCAAGATGATCAGCAGCGTTTTTAGCGCCCTATATTCGATCCCTCCCAGCTCCTCCTTCTGCGCCTCGTTCCAGTCGGAATAGCTGGCGATGGAGGATTGCCACATCAAGGAGGGCAAAGATGGCATAGCAACGGCAGGATCGCCCAGGGTCCCCGAGTCACCGATTGATTCGGATATGGAGCGCCGGCGAGACCCGATGCTCGAACGGCGCCGCGGTTTGCTCCCCAGCTCTGTCTCGTCCTCAAAGGTGATATGAGGGCTCGTGGCCTGGTACCTGCGCGGAGAGATCGCGTCGTCATCATCATTTATCCTCCCCAGCAGCGGCTGCTCTTCATTGTCTCTCCCGGGCCAAGGGGGCACTATCGGTCTGCTGATATTCACAGCGTTCCGCTCCTGGTCCTCGAGCGCACTGAGCTCCTGGTTCATTCTCCTTCGCTGCGCCCGACAGAGCGTTTTGGCGTCGTGGATAGCGCCTCGAAACCGTCTCCGAAACCAATACAGACGAATGAGCACGAGCAGCGAGTGCATGAACACAACGTTGGTGACCATGGGAACGACCCACAGGATCGCCTGCTGCGCAACATGAAGCCGGTTCAGGTCGACGGGATTCAGACCTGTCTGGGTCGCGGCGCCGGAGGCAAGAAGCAAGGCATTGGTATAGGAGACCCCGCCCGGGATATAGAAGATCACGGAGGTGAAGAGAACCCAAAAGGAGATGTAGATGTAATGATGATAGAGTCGCAGGGGAGAATTATCTCGCTGAGACATCAGTAGGGCAGGCAGACGACGACGCGAGGGAACTAGCTAGCTGAACCTGAACCAAAAGGTGACTAACTTCTTTAGCAGAGTCCAGCAAGGTAAGGAGAGTGGGAAAGACGTCAAACTTACCTGCCGATAAACCGGACATCCAATAAATAATCAAGACCAGAGACCAAGATGTGCCAGTGCTAGCATGAAAGCCAACAAATGCCTCGTCTGGGGGCCGATAGCATCGCTACGTCCTTTGTTTCTGTGCGCTCTTTAACCACAACCACTGAGCAGGTCGGCAGGCGGCAGGTAGCCCGGCCGGTAGGACCAAGCTAGCTTAAATAGCGAACAAAAAAAGTTTGCGGAAAGGAGCGGGGAACAGAAAAAGCCAGCTAAGTAGCTCTCACTGAAAGCATTCATTTCATATGCGAGAGGCTTAAATGCAAACGGGAGCTCCAGCTCCAGCCGGTCTGGTCTGGTCTCGTTGAGCTCCGGAGGGAAAACCGTGGACGGACCAACCAATGGACGGGATTAATCGCTCATTCGCCACCATTGACATCACGGTTTCTGAGGCTGTTCAACCTTAATGGGAAAGAGACCGGATAGAGTAGGAAGGAGCAGGAAGTGAGATTTGATGTTTGGTAGTGGTTATGGTAAGTGGTTATTGATTGATTAGGGCTGTCTGGATATGTCACGTTGGATGTGGATCCGAACCATCTTGTGGCACTTGTAGCAACACAAGGTGGGTATTGATTTCCTGGGTTTGAGATTGACTGACTAATTCATTGCATAAGCTGCTGGAGTGGTATAACTACTTATGTTTTTCATAGCGAGTCAAGCGAAGTCTCATACTCCAAATGACGACAGGATCACGGCATCACGACAATGACTCACAAACCGATGAAAATCGTCCAACATGAAGCCTGTCGAGTATCTCAAACTCATCAAAGCCAATAACCAAGAGCCCATATCCAAAAACTCGAACAAATCTAAGCCAAGATGGCTGAACCAACAATCCCTGAAAGCAAAGCTCATGATTTATTCTATATCCCCGAGCTCCTGGAAGCCATTCTGTTGAATTTAGATATGCACACATTGCTCATCTCAGCTCGCGTCTGTTACAAGTGGAATGACCTGATCAAAAACTCCCGCAAGATACAGCAGGCATTATTCTATGTCCCTTGCGATATGGTAGGTCCAGATTAGCCAAGCATCCAGAACCCACTTGTGGCCGACAGAATATGGCCAGATTTTATCTGCACACGACTCTACTCGCGGATGAAAATTGGAACATATATAAGGAAGCAGCATAAAGTCCGACGGATCTCATCAAGGGAGAGAGAACAGGCGTATTTGCGCCACGAGGCAAGTTGGCGGCGGATGTTTCTCCGGCAGCCTCCAACGACGACCGTCTTTTTCGAGTGGTTTAATACCTTCGAGAGCTCCTTCATGTGCATGGCTACTTTCGCTCATCACGGATAATGGACACCAGAAAGTGAGTTTGTTCGCCTGGAGCACATAGCGCATCGGAGAGACGTTGGATTCTCCATGCCAAGATGGATATTCTCAAGCAAATCAGATTGGTACTTTAACAAACCCAATAAATACCGGCCGAAAGATGAGCCCGTGACCAGATATCCTCCTGACACCCAATATCTGGCCCAGTTCGATCTCACTGTGAGCTCTGAAATTCCCTGTGATTTGACGACATCATTTGAGGATTTATATGGCGTACGGACACATGTTCCTGCTTGGATCGGCGAGGCGCCTGCAGCGTGTATAATAGATAGGTTTTATCAGGCTAATGGAATTTTGATTGATTGATTGACGGATTGATTGATTAATTCAGTTTGTTAAAAAAAATAGTCCAACATCAAGCTTGCTACCAATCGCACAAGCATAAACCAGTAGTCTAATAGCCCCATGTTTCTTTCGAACCTGAGTGTCTGTAGATCGATTGCTCTGGCAAGCGACGTATGAAAGGAACTCGTGTGACAAGTTGCCTCGGCCGGGTTATGGTTACAAACTAAAGGATCAATGAGGAATAGCATCCCCCCAGACTAGATCGAGGACTATTCTTTAATTAACTCATTTGAATACCTGGGCACTCCCAAGCCTGTCGGTGTCCTCCAGCGTGCAGAAAGACATCGAGAAGGGACGTCAGCTTTGGGCCAAGATCTTCCCTATTTGCAAATTCCTCGAGTCACGCGGTCAGAACCGGAGTGAAGCTCAGAGGTTAGTCGACGGGTGGACTGAGGAAGGCCCTCGCCCTGTTGAAGGGCGAGCCTTTGGCGGACATCCAACTTCTTTATGTTAAGACACTTTCTATCTCGGCTGGAGCAGAGTACTCGAAGGAGGGTCGTACACGGGGAATGCGAAATTCTACTTTATTTTGTAATGCGCTTGTATAACATGGTTATTAGTCTTGATAGATAGATAGGCACCACCAAATTAGCGATTTTGATTGACTAGCTACTAATCTAGACATAATTCCCTGCGTCCTCGATAGCTAAATAGAAGCCTAGCAGCTTGCCCTGAGCCAAAAGCCAAAAGACGTGAACAGATAAGTTGACAACAAGACCATACAGGAAACGAAAAAACAACCAACCATCCTATCATCTCATAGAGGTACAACGTGCCCTGTTCCGCACAATACTCAATAATACAGGGCGAGTTCAACTCACGCTGACCACGAGCCAACCACTCACCGAGCTCACCGAGGATACCCTTGTCCGTCGTGAGATCGTCTCTAGTCAGATATTGCATTGGGAAAGGATCCTTTCCCAGATATTGAATGAAAAAAGGATCGGTGGTGGATATCATCGGCTCCCAGGAAATTACCTCCACACCAATTATCTTCGGGGAATCATCGACGTTTTTGGAAAAGAAGGGCCTGGTCACAAAGGCCCAGTCTGCCCAATTCGCCACGTGCTCTAGGCGGAGGAATCCACCTTTTGGCGTCTGCGTTCCTTTTGCGAGGTTAGCACACATAGGATAGCTGATATAGGGCACACTGGTACCGTTTAAACTAACGAAATATACTGTGGGTGTGGGAGGCTGCTGGAGAGGCATCCGTCGCCAACTTGCCTCGGGGCGCAAATACGCCGCTTGTTCCTGGCATGATATTGTCTGTTGGAGGAAGTACGGGCCGTCGTATGCCCTCTGTGAGTGGAGTTGCCTGCAGATAAAATCCTTTACTCGATTGACTGCAAATATGTTCGTGATGTTTTGCAGGTGAGGAGGTACCGCGTCACGAGGGACAAAAAATAGTGCCTGCAGTATCCTAGAGGAGTTTTTGATCAAGTCGTTCCACATATAACACACGCGAGCTGAGACTAGCAGTGTTTGTGTGTCTAAGTTCAACAGAATGGCTTGATCTTATTTTATTAAGCTGTGAGTCATTATCATGCTTTCTGGGTCGTGGTATCGCGATGCCGTGATGCCGTCGTCATTGGAAGTAAAGGCTTCGCTTGACTCATGAAGAAAATTGTATACCGCAAGTCGATATCAAAGTTTTCTTTTTTCGCCCCATTTCTTTAATCAACCAAGTCCTGCAGATCAACCCAACTCGTCACGGCTAATATTCCCTCCTCTCCGGCCTATGCAGGCCTTTTTGGCTAAACTCCCGGCTAGAGAATGACGCTGCTAGATACCGACTAAACATGCACGCTAGACCGGCCTGAAACAGCGTCTAGCGCATTTCGCCACGGAGCATCATCATTCTCGCTGCAACACTCCACGCTTCATGGTTTTGATCCCTGTAAAAGCGGAGAAGAAGCCGCTTTCATATCCATGTCTCCGCTCGTCCGTCAATACCATGAGGAACTGTCGTAGTGCTATATAAACGATGTAGTCGGACGGCGCCGCAGTTACTACTGTACATCCCCGTCCCAGCTGCCCTAGCCAACAAGCAAGCAAGCAAGCAAGATGCTCCCCCTCCCCATTCTCCTCACCACCCTCCTGTGCGCCTTCAGCAGCACCGCACTCACCCTCCAACATGAGCACGCAAAACAACTCCTCCCGCGCGCCGGCTCCCTGGAACAAATCACCGACTTCGGCGACAACCCCACAAACGTAGGCATGTACATCTACGTGCCGAACAACCTGTCCTCAAACCCCGCGATCATCGTCGGCATCCACTGGTGTTCGGGAACCGCACAGGCGTACTACACCGGTTCGCCGTACGCGACGTACGCCGAGCAGCACGGCTTCATTGTCATTTATCCGGATAGTCCGTATGAGGGCGGATGTTGGGATGTTAGTTCGCAGGCGACGTTGACTAGGGATGGTGGTGGGAATAGTAATTCGATTGCGAATATGGTGAAGTGGGCGGTGGAGAAGTATGAAGCTGATGAAGAGAGGGTGTTTGTTACGGGGTTGAGTTCGGGGGCTATGATGACGGTATGTTGTTTTTCCTTCTATCTCCTTCTCTTGCTTTGTTGGCTTCTCTGTCGTGCTATTTCTCTATCTCTGTGGGAATTGAATATGAAATTGTCTGGAATTTTCTTCTTATATCTGACATCTGAGTGTTATGGTATAGAACGTCATGGCAGCAACATACCCCGACCTCTTCGCCGCCGGAATCGTCTACGCCGGCGTCCCAGCCGGCTGCTTCCTCAGCACGGCAGACGAAAAGAACGCATGGAACAGCACCTGCTCCCAGGGCAACTCAATCACCACCCCCGAGCATTGGGCCGCCATCGCAAAAGCCATGGACCCGGGATACGACGGTCCGCGACCTAAGATGCAGATCTACCACGGCAGTCAGGACACGACGCTGTATCCGCAGAACTACTACGAGACGTGTAAGCAGTGGGCGGGGGTGTTTGGGTACGAGTATGATAGTCCGGAGGAGACGAAGAAGGATACGCCCTTGGCGAACTGGGCGTCGACGGTCTGGGGGGAGAAATTGACGGGTGTGCTGGCCGGGGGTGTGGATCATGGGATTCAGATACAGGGGAAGGAGGATATGGTTTGGTTTGGGTTTACTTAGGGGGGTATAGTATAGGGGGGTGTGTGTAGGTGTGGGTTTGGTGGTTAGGATTGGTGGATGGATGGTTTGGCTTTCGGAGCTCTATCGTCTCGCATTTATGCATTCAAATAGTATCATATGCAAGTTAAGACGCTCTCTCCCTCCCTATCGCTCTCAGTTTAGGTCCCCATACCCACAGAACCAACGGCGCGGGAATCGCCAACCCCATACAAAGAAACGCCAACAAGCTATTCCCCCACCCATACCCAAGCCGCTCGTACAGCTGCGGCGCAAAGATCGGGAACGCAAACCCAAGAATATAAGAGAGGACGCGCATAGCGGCACTAGCCGATGCCGTATGCGTGAACTCGTCAAGCAAGTAAGCCAACATGCCCTGACCGATCATAAAGCTGCCCCAGGTGAAGATAGCAGCGCCGATATCTACCGCGATCCAGGGGGCGTGTTTCTCAGCTGACCAGCCGTACCAGAACAGGCCGACCGGGATGAGCACCACGCTAGGGATGAGGTAGGGGACGCGGAACTCGGGCGTGGGCGGTGCTGCTGGACCGGCTCGGTCGCGCATCCGCCGGTAGATGAAGTCCATGAGGTGACCGCCTAGTTGGGCTGAGAGGGTCGTGCCGATGGCGATGGCGATGTAGTTGAGACTGCTGATTGTTGAGGACTGGCCGTATCGGTCCATCCAGAGGGTGGCGTAGGTGGAGAGCATGAGGATGTAGATACCGAAATCGAGAGCGTAGATAAGGGAAAGGAGTTGGATTATGGGACGGTGGATCATGAGGTTGAAAGGTCTGTAGAGGTTCTTGCGGAGTTGAGTGAGTAGACTATCTGTGTTGCGGTGCTGCAGGTTCGGGGTCTGGGTGCGTGCTTTGCGGTGGAGTAGGACGGGCGTGTGGCATTCTTGGATCACAACGGTGCCTAGGACCAATACGACGACGTCGAAGATGGACAGGATCCAGAAGAGCCAGTGCCAGTGTAGGTTCTGTGCTGCGAGGCCGCCGATGATGGGACCCAGTGCCGGACCCAGGAACGGGATCAGGGTGGCTAGGGCTAGCGATTTCCCGCGGTCTTTGGCGTGAAACATGTCGGCCATGATGGGGGCTGTGAGCTGGATGGCGGATCAGTTTACTATATCGTGGATATGGTGATTGACCGGAAACCTACGGCGATGCCCACACAGCCTCCGATCGCAGCCAGAAACCGCCCGACCATCATCAAACCGGGAGAATTTCCCACCGGACAGAGGCTATTCCACAAGATATACCACACATTACAGGCCATCCAAACGGGCTTGCGACCGTACATCTCCGACAAAGCGCCGACGAGGAACGGGCCAAATCCGAGACCTAGCAGGTAAACGGAAAAGGCGATTTGGGTGGCTAGCTCGCTCATTCTGAGGTCCTCGGCGATTTGGCTCAGGGCCGCGGCCATCATACTGGCGGACATGAGACCGGCTAATTGGGCGCAGGATACGACCATTGCGATGGAGACCTTGCGAGTTAAGGACCAGTTGTAGGGGTTTTGGGGATCGTCGGGGCCGTCCCAAGTTGCCTAGAAGAATAAATGGTGAGTTGCCTGTTTGTGCCACGATCAAAATTTAGCCAAGGACAGAGAACCGACCCCGTAGGTTTCATTCAGGGCATCAAGCTGTGCTTGAGCATTGAGAGCTTCTGTATAGTCTGCTTTCTGTTTCTCGACCTCCACATTCGGGGAAACTTCTGGTCCTTTGGAAGTGTTCATGGTGAGAGTCTGATAGCAAAAGATCGAGGCTCCTCGTTACACATAATATGTAACCAGAGAAGAAACTGACAGTTGTCCACGACTAACTGCTATTCTTAAATAGACCGATCCCAAATACACCGAGACCCGGCAGGTAAAACCGAGTCGGATCATCATGGACTGACTCGGATCAGATAAGTAATTGACCTATGAACGGTCTTCACGCGTGAGCTTGTCCATTGTCAATCAGAATATAGTCTCATCCCGAAGGAGCGTATCTAATCTGATGCAGTAACCTGCGCCGATTAATCCGAGATCCTTCGGGGAATCTGTTGGGACTTGATCAGAATGCGGTTTAGTAGGGTTGCATCGCAGGTGCTGCTAGTCTTCCCCGTACGATGGCGTGCTGGAAGGAGGAGATAACAAAGAAGATTCGCTGCGAAGTGACTCACTTCCATGCAGGATCTGAGGGTCTGAGGGTCTATTCGGCTGTCGGATGCTGATTGATAACATGGGATGTTCCAGGCAGCAATGGACGCCTGATGAGGTTGACGGTCTTCGACTGGAATGAGCTAGCTATACAGATCTAAAAAAACCAAAAAAAATCAGGCTGTCTATCTATCTATAACTAATATGTATTAAGCCCATCAAGTCCAGAAACAAGCGAGCGCAAAAAGAAAAGGCACCCTCCCCACCGCGATGCAGGGGATCGAACTTGCGGCGTAGGGGCTCAATACGGGAGAAGGGCGCCCTCCTCCCGCAGCAAGACCCCTGCACCATCGGGTGGGGAGTATTAACGTACTGGATGCATAGCTCGCTCATCTGTTTCATTTGATACTTTTCTTCTGATCTTGTTGCTTGTATTAGGACGAAAAGGACTCATTTCCGACATATATTTGGGTGCTCTGGAGCCGATTCGGTTTAGAAGTTTGAAAAATAACTTGGACACAAGATAGGATATGAGGTAGGCAAGATAACAAGGGACTGTATATGTATACAAAGAAATTAAGTAGTAAAAGGTTTCTTTTTACTAATCTACTGTGATCTAGAATATCACCTATAGGCGATTCACCTACTATGCGAATCAGTGGATTCATTGGTGTGTCATCAGATAAAAAAACACAAGTGTGATAACAACAAATGGGCGGATGAGATTCAAAAAAATGTCTATGACAGGTTGTCACTCAATGATGTCCGTCTATTCTACTTCAGAGTGATCTCAAGTCGACGACCTTACTCCTTCCTCGGTTACTTGGTCGGAGGTATCATTGCTAAGTCCTAGGTGCTGACCCGATGGAGATAGCTGTCAATCGGCCGAAATAAGGTTACCGTTGGGAGTAAGCAGCTTATCGGCGCCGACGATCAGTTCCCATTGGCCGAAGAATGAAGGCATTCGCCACATCTCGAGCTCCTTGACTCCTTCATAAACCGCCAGCTGGACTTCCATACTTGCATACTCTCACAAACCTTCTCAAGTCATTCGAAGATCAACATCACTCAATTTTCACCAAGTCCATCTTCATCTACAATGTCTACTTCTGTTCAGACCGTCGCTATTCCCAACATTGCGTGGAACATCGCGGCCGATATCTACTTCCCCCCGAACTTCGACAAGAACAAGACATACCCGGCTGTTGTGTCTGCCCATCCCATCGGCTCATGCAAGGAGCAGACATCTGGTAAAGTTTACGGCAACGCGATCGCTGAAGCAGGATTTGTGGTCGTGGCTTTCGATGCCTCTTTCCAGGGCGCTTCGGGTGCTGAGCCTCGTTTGATGGAGAACCCCGAGTTTCGAGTCTCGGACTTTCGCTTCGTCGTGGATTACATTCAGACGCTTCCCTATGTCGACTCCAAGAGAATCGGGGTGCTGGGAATCTGCGGTGGCGGCGGCTACGCTCTCAATGCCATCATGACCGACTATCGCTTCCAGTGCGCCGTTGGCATCACCCCCGTCAACTTCGGCCGCCTCACTCGTGAAGCCTTCGGTAATTTCGATCCGGCCGGCGCTCTGGAAAAGATTGCCAGTCAACGAACTCTCGAGGCTCAGGGAGCTCAACGATTCATTCTGAACTATCTTCCCTCCACGGTTGCCGAAGCCAAGCAGGCAACGACGGATATCGATACTATTGAGGCCACCGAGTATTACAAGACCGAGCGAGGCCAGGCACCCAATGGCGCCTGCAGCGGTCTTTTTTCCTTCAATAGTGCTGCTCTGGCATGGGACGCTTTCAACCACGCCGAACAACTCATGACCCGACCGTTTATGGTGGTGGTTGGTGACAAACCAGGAAGCTTCGGTGCCTATCGCGATGCCCCGGAAATCCACGGCCGTGCTGCTTCCAAAGATAAGAACCTCGTCATTCTCCCTGGCGTTTCGCATTATATGCTTTATGATAAGCCGGAGGCTGTTGAGCCTGCTCTTGATCAGGTTTTGCCGTTCCTCAAGAAACATCTCGGCGTTGACAATTGAACAGCGGCTGTTAGAGCCCCGGCGAATTTTCGAGATGATCTTGTTTGGTAGACAAATTAGCACGGTTAATTAGTGTTATGCCTGTTTTCAATGTGCTACGAACCATTATAACTCGAATAGATAACATTGGGACCAGGTCCAGTTGTTCGTAATGTGCAGAGTATGCATCACTCATGATGCAGCAAAAATGGAACCTCAGATACCTGGTTAAATAAATGGTAATAAAATACCTATACACATAATAATATTTTCTTTTTACGATAATTACGTTATTATATTCTTTTTTTTTCTCATTATATTCTTAGATCAGTCAACAAAACATGGCGGAAGAGGATTTTCAACATCTACTAAAATTGAAGATGTAGCGTCGATAAATAGTAAACAAGCTCCTTCATTCTTACCCTTTAACAACCTACAGAATGACAATAAAGATGATAACTCAAGCCAAGTTTATCGCCCAATGTTGAATGTTATACTAGAACGACGTAGAGACAATCGCACTCAAAGCGCTGGAGAACTGAAGCCCAAAAAATTCTATAACGACTTCAATAGGCCCCAGTACAACGTGGTGAGCGCATAGCCTAGCTAAAGTTATTGTGTCCTCCTATCGCCGCTTTCGACCGATATGAATATGATGACGATGTAATCAGGAGTGGATTTCTTAGCTCCGAAAGCCGTCCGAAACATGGTTCCCAAGGAGAAACCTATCGGCTGAATCCCCCAAGATGGCCCGAAGAAATCCTTCGGATCTACCGGAGATCTTTAGGCTTTGAACCATGTGGGTAAGCATGAGAGAGCAGTCGTCATGATAATATGCCAGTACAGATTAAGAGAAGTATGAGAAGTCAACCCGCGATCGATCTTTGATCTGAAGAATATGGAATGTAAATTTCATGCTCTTTAAAGCGGGCCAGCTTTCGGTTATATACGATTTTGCCATTTTTCTCGTTTTGGACCTCAACCATGTAGTAGCATATATTATTGTTGGCCGTCTCTCTAGGCGTAATTGCTAGTAATGTACCCGTAGGAATATCGAATGATGAAGGTCTGATTCTTTCAATCTAGCTGCAAACGATGGTTTAAATACATGAAGAATAATAAGCAATCTAGCCTAAAAAGGCAGTTAGAAGAGACATAACTTTTGAACCATGGAAATAACAGAAAACTCTGCATAATCCTCGGGGATCGGTAGTTACCAATACCGATGTCCGGACTAGGAAGGTCTCCTATGTGACTAGCGGTCACATACGGTTGACAATTATTTCCCTCACGATCTTTGAGCGCTGTTTTCTTCTCAGCCATTACAGCAACTTCGTTGACGCCCGGATCTGAAGTCGGATATGGCCACCTAGTTTTCTTTTCTTTATCTGGAACAGCCCACGCAACATTCTGACTGTGATACCCTTTCGATGAATTTGGGATTAAAAATTGTTTGCCTTTTTCTCTGTAGCCATATGTTAAATCATTTCCTCCCCCTTCTTCTCTTCCCTTATTTTTGCTCTCTTCTTCGTCTTCATGTTCTTCTCTTCCCTTACCTTTGTTCTCTTCTTCGTCATTACGTCGTTCTTCTTCAACAGGAGCCTCGGTGTCTTCGGATCTGGATGTCTCAAAATTGGCTTTCGCCTTTTCAAGTTCTATTCAATCAATATACTGCTCACATAAGAACGGAGTATTCCCTTTACTTTGCCTTGCCTCGCCCACTTGCTCCCTTTTCATTGGTTCCCGATAATCCAAAGCATCATTAATAAGCTTAAGATGTTTTTCTAGGGCCGCTATATCTGAGAACTTAGACCAGTCAAACAGCGTGTCTTCTGTAGAGTTATTTAAGCGATCTATTTCATCATCTATCGCCTTTTCTAGTACCACTTTGTTATCGTCGGTGAGTTTTGTTTTCCTTTCAGTGTACTTGTCAGGCAATACCTTTTTTCCGTTTGGGCCCGGGTGTTGGAGGAGACCGGCTCGCTGAAATTCTATGTATAAATCTGTCGTGTTCATGGTCTGTAAGGCACTCTATGGTAAGAACTGATCTGTATTTGAAAGGCTTAATAGGTATAGGAACAGTTCAAGATATTTAGAGGTAGTAGAATGTCATAATTCTATATAGGATTGTATTTAAATAAGGCATAGATGTCTGGTCCTGGGAGAAATATGTGCCCTCTAAAACTCTCCGCCTGTTGTTTAGTATCTTACATCATAGACACTTGGAAATTAATATTATACTACTAGTAAGTACATTTGATACCATCAATTTTCTATACGATTTTTTACTATAATATGGGCTTTGATATATGCAGGGGCTGCAATCAGTTTCCGGACCATCATGATTAGATGGGGTAACCTCGATGACTCACAAGAATTACTTCCAGGCCTGCGGCATATCTATGCAGGATGCTTTCTCAAAACCTGACAACGTAGCCCGCTATCAGGCCCATCCAGATTAAAAAAGCGTATAGTCGGTAGACAAACAGTCTCAAAAGTCGCTCGAGCAGCTTTCTTAGCGAATTGAACAGGAGGTAAGTCGGACGCGTGCTGGTAGTACAGACAGCGCTTTGGGTTAGTGTAATGATCTAGATCAAATGAGAGAAGAAGCTATTCGTTCACTATGCAGAAGAAGTCTCAAGTTTAAAATACTGTGACTCGAATTATATGAAAGTCCTTGTATACAGAGCCTTGCAGGTTAGGCTTTACATGATTATCACTCTTCCACTCTTTCTCAGCGTCACCTCCCGCGAACTAATCCATATTAGGGTTTGTCTGGTATTGAGGTAACTTACAGTCAGTATGCGGCCTGACTTGACGAAACGTACAAAGTACACCAACGCGGGGATATTCGCTGCGACCATGTAGTGCCGTCGGATAATAAAGCTTCCGGTCTACTACATAAATCTGGATTGATTCTCCGTGGACTTGGGAACAGTGGTAGCTCAGAGCGTTTGAATGGAAGACGTGCTTGAAATATGAGCAGGATGTATGTCAAAATTCTCTGATGTGGCCCTCAGTATGGACTATCTTCGGCAGATTGTCACATTGCTCATGGCTCGGCGACCGCTGAAGTGCTCAGCCCTGCAAACACATGTCGCCGTGACCCCGCTTTTCAGCCGCGTGAATATCGCTTCGCATCTTGCTCCCATAATTACAACTCTTCTGCGTTCTAGTCTGCTAATCCTGGCATATCTAGAGCTGGAAGGCATGATAAAATCTTATGTTTTCCGTTTAGCTCGCGATGTCTTCCCTGACGCACGATGACTACACGATCGCGTGGATATGTGCCTTGCCGCTGGAGGTTGCGGCCGCTCGCGTCATGCTGAACAAAACCCACAATTCCTTGCCTAACCCCCCCTCCGATCCGAATGCCTACATGCTTGGCGAACTAAACGGCCATTATATAGTCATTGCCTGCCTGCCGGATGGCGTGTATGGAACAGTCTCTGCCGCGGCTGTGGTATCTCGCATGCGCCCAACGTTTCCGCGGCTTCAATATGCACTAATGGTGGGAATCGGAGGCGGAGTTCCAAATACAGACAACGATATCCGACTAGGCGATGTAGTGGTCAGCAAACCGATTGGAATGTACAGTGGGGTGATTCAGTATGATTATGGCAAGGCAGTTCAAGGCGGGATATTTGAGCCAACTGGAACCTTAAACAAACCACCACCGACGCTCCTAATGCACATGAGTCAACTGGAGGCAAAACAAATGATCGAGGGCAGGGATTCGGTATCAAAAATTGTATGGGATGCTCTGGAGCGAAATCCCCACATGACTGAAAGATTCTCGCCCCCGGAGCATCACATGGATTTTCTGTTTCGTTCTGCTTATCACCATGTCAAGAAGGAAGAGGACTGCAAAAGGTGTGATAAACAGCAATTGGTCCAGCGACAAACCCGTGATACTAAGGCACCTTCTATCCACTATGGATTGATTGCATCCGGAGATCAGGTGATGAAGGACTCGGACACACGAGACCGTCTAGCTCAACAGCATGGGATACTCTGCTTTGAGATGGAAGCTGCAGGCCTGATGGATGAGCTTCCGACATTGGTGATCCGAGGTATTTGCGACTACTGCGACTCTCATAAGCAGAAAGAGTGGCAGGGATATGCAGCATTAACAGCCGCTGCCTTTGCCAGATTATTGATGTCAGTCGTGCCCGTGTATCGTACACAGTCCGGCTTGCTGAAACAGAAAGTTCGGCACTGGATGGTCCCATTCGCAAGAAATCCAAAATTCGTTGGTCGCCAGCATGAAGTGATGGAGCTGGAGAAACTAATTGCAATAGAAAATGGGCCTGCACGGATTGCGATCACTGGTTTAGGGGGCGTGGGGAAGACACAGGTAGCCCTAGAGGTAGCATACCGCATACGAGAGCGAGACAAGGAGTGCTCAATTTTCTGGGTCCCATGTACCAGTTATGCGATGATTGAGCAGACCTTCCAAGATATTATCCAATTTTCTGGCATTTCAGATGTGAAGCCGGGCGAGGCTAAAGAACAGATCAAGACATACCTCAGCTCCGAGCGTGCAGGCAGATGGATTCTGATTTTCGATAATGCAGATGATGCTGAGATGTGGTCAATAGGTGACAACACGGAACCAGCCCTTGAGGAGTTTCTCCCCCAAAGTGAACAAGGCCGCATTTTATTCACTTCCCGCAATCTGGAACTTGCAGTGGATCTCACCTACTCGAATATCATTGCCATTCCAGACATAGATCATCAAACTGCGATACAAATCCTGGAGAAGACATTAGTGCAGAAGGAGCTACTCAATGATCATACAAAGATGATTGCTCTTCTTGAACAACTAGCAAATCTTCCCTTGGCGATTGTGCAGGCGTCAGCATACATCAACAAAAAGCGGCTTAGTCTGTCTACATACGCAAGACTATTGAAGGAGACGGAGCAAGATGCGGTTGAACTCCTTAGCGAAGACTTTAAGGATCCAGGGCGTTATAAGGATATTCAAAATCCAATTATGACCACGTGGTTGATATCATTTAATCAAATTCAGCAACAAGATCAATTGGCGGCGGATTATCTATCTTTCATGGCCTGTGTTGATCCACGCAAGATTCCCCAGTCTCTCCTTCCATCGGAAGCTGCCAAAAAACCAACACTAGATGCTTTAGGTTTGCTGAATGCATACTCCTTTATTAGCAGTCATGATATGGACATAAGCATGCACAGACTCGTGCACATTGCGATGCGAAACTGGCTCAGAAAGAATGGGATGCTTAGTAACTGGGTCTACAGGGTGGCAAATCGAATGCAAACAATTTTTCCTGGTGATCACTATACCAATCGAGGGTTATGGCGAGAATACCTTCCCCATGCTCTGGCTGTTGTGAATGGGAAGGAGTTCAAAGAGCTTCCGACAGATCACAGTAATTTTATGGGTAGAATTGCAGATTGTCTTGCTAGTGATGGGCGATTTCATGAAGCGGAGGTGTTATACACTCAGCTGATGCAAATGAAACAGGATAAAAATGGCGCTGAGCATCCCTCCACTCTGACCAGCATGGCGGACCTGGCTTCAACCTACCAGAATCAGGGACGATGGAATGAAGCGGAGCAGCTGAACGTGCAGGTCATGAAGACAAGGAAGACAGTGCTAGGCTCTGAGCATCCTGACACTCTGACCAGCATGGGGAACCTGGCTTCAACCTACCAGGATCAGGGACGATGGAATGAAGCGGAGCAGCTGGAGATGCAGGTCATGGAGACATCCAAGACAGTATTAGGTGCTGAGCATCCTGATACTCTGACCAGCATAGCAAACCTAGCTTTAACCTACCAGAATCAGGGACGATGGAATGAAGCGGAGCAGCTGAACGTACAGGTCATAGAGACATCCAAGACAGTGCTGGGTGCTGAGCATCCCTCCACTCTGGCCAGCATGGCGAACCTGGCTTCAACCTTTTGGAATCAGGGACGATGGAATGAAGCGGAGCAGCTGGAGGTGCAGGTCATGGAGACATTCAAGACAGTGCTGGGTGCTGAGCATCCTGACACTCTGACCAGCATGGCGAACCTGGCTTCAACCTACCGGAATCAGGGACGATGGAATGAAGCGGAGCAGCTGGAGGTGCAGGTCATGGAGACAAGGAAGACAGTGCTGGGTGCTGAGCATCCCTCTACTCTGACTAGCATGGTGAACCTGGCTTCAACCTTTTGGAATCAGGGACGATGGAATGAAGCGGAGCAGCTGAACGTGCAGGTCATAGAGACATTCAAGACAGTGCTGGGTGCTGAGCATCCCTCCACTCTGACCAGCATGGCGAACCTGGCTTCAACCTACCGGAATCAGGGACGATGGAATGAAGCGGAGCAGCTGGAGATGCAGGTCATGGAGACATTCAAGACAGTGCTGGGTGTTGAGCATCCCTCCACTCTGGCCAGCATGGCGAACCTGGCTTCAACCTTTTGGAATCAGGGACGATGGAATGAAGCGG